TATATTAACATTTAATAACATCCAAGAAGGTCACAGTTAGTTACACAGTGACGTGTACATCACAAGTCCGTGAAATTTCATAGGCCTACCGTATGTAAACATAGAAAGAGCAATAATAGTAAAACTCGAGCGTCACGACATTGCGAAGTGTCTGCTCTTGTTCCTCGTATCGTACTCACTCGGGTCAATCCGAGATGGCCCGAGTGAAGTTTCATGCAAATGTTTCGTACGGGAAAAAAAATCGCTTCCTGTTCTGCTGTTCACAGTACGGTATGGTCAGAGCGGTCAAAGGTCAAAAGTTTCCAATTTAGCAAGAGGGCGCCATTCATGCCTTATTACAGAATTTGCACACGTAAATCGCGGAGAACGCTATCTTGTGTTTATAAGATCTTTGATATAAATTTATTTACTCCATGTTTTCAATGTCCCTTCACCGGCCCTTCCCCCTCCCACCCGCCTGGCGGCGTAAACCTCCATCCTATCTCGTTTGTTTGAAATTCCACAGTTATTATCTGTACCTGAGCAACCCATATAATTATAAGTATAATACATACTCCAAGTATTGAATACACGCCATCGTGTTCGGATTGATTGCGTGTATTTCAATTGGAGTATGTATTATACTTTCTTATCTGAGATTAATCAGTGGACCTTTCGGTTCCATATAATTATTGCACTCAAGGTAAATTATTAGGTGCTACGGAAAAAAAAATCTGTCTAGCATGGAAACAAGATCTAGAAACATGAATGAATCATTCCCCATACAGTGTACTATTATTTTGTAAAACACAAAAACGATAACTTTTTTGACTAATGTTTTTACTCTTTGAATGAGCACTTTCTAATGAGTGTTAAATTGTAAGTAATATTATATTATGACATATGTACTATTAGTACAATCTTCACATTATTAAGTGTTATTATTTTGATTGATATTATATTAATTTTTATTACTATTATATTATTATTATTATTACTATTATATTATTATTATTACTATTATTATTATTTTATGACTATTATTAATAAATGACTACTATTATTAGCAGACATGTCAACCCGTACGCATTTGCCGTAAGTCTGGGAGCCCTGGTAGCCCCTGGCCCCCAGCCACTGTTCATGCCTTTGGCACTCATTATGTGTCATCGGATCTTACTCTTTGAAATTATTAGGCCTAATATTATTAGAACTATTGTTATTGTTTGAAGGTTTCATGGCAAACCTCTGACCCTCCCAATCAGTCAAGATCCATAATTTTCAAAGGGGGTGGGGGGGAGAGAGGGCACAACAGCTCCCTGATACGAACAAAGTGGAACTTAGAAGAATTCCATATGTAATTATTACTACAAACTTGTTTGCTACAGCTGTCAAAAGATGCCCATACTCATTAGGTACAAATACATAGTGAGTAGTCAAGAATTACATGTATGCTAATATATAAGGTGAATATACTTTGCTAAGGTTCCTTGCAGTCCTAATATTGTTTAGCTGTGTTGTTTAATATTGTTTAGTTGTTACACAATAAATGCTTCTTTCTGTGCCTGCATGAAGTGACCAACTCGTTTCTTCTATTTAATGTGCTTAATTTTGGTTTACAAAGTTTTTTTTGGGCCAGAAAGTATCATTAGACCGTGGGTTGAGGCTCCAAAATCGGCTTAGTTTACGAATTCTGTGACCCACCGATCCGCGCTACTTGGCATTCGCACAAAAATGTCAATACTATTTTATTGAAACATAATATAATTGTCGGCAATCATAAATTTGGGGAAACTGTAACCAATAATGAGAATTTATCTTCAAAAAAATAATGTCGTTCACGTAAGCAGTACCCAATCACAGCACACTTACCATATCTGTTAAGCATTGGTGAGACGCTATTAGCCAATCACAAACGTTCTTGTAAACTCGGTAACTAATGAAAACAATGTCGCGAGGAAAGTGAAAATGTGTAGCAATTTGAACGAAAGTTCACCGGTTTTAGTGGAATATTTCAATATGATATAAGTATACCAGCTTTTAAATAAAATACATTGGTAATAGTTGTAAGATTTTAGAGGTAGTAAATTGCATTTCCCGTCTTCTGTCGACTGTCATACCATAGTTTTTTAAGCCAAAGTCGACCGTGCTGTACTGAA